TGGGAAATTTGGAGGAAAATTGGGAAATTTGGTGGGAAAAATGAGAAATTAGGAGGGAAATTTGGTGGGAAAAGTGGGAATTTGGTAGGAAATTCGCGGAGATTTGGAGGGAAATTTTGGGGGGATTTGGAGGGAAATTGGGGAGAAATTTGGGGATTTGGAGGGAAAATTGGGAATTTGGAGGGAAAATCGGGGAATTGGGTGGAAATTTGGGGGATTTGGTGGGAAAAGGGGAATTTTGGTCGGAAATTGACAATTTTTGGGTGGAAAATGACAAATTTGGGGCAGAAATTGACCAATTTTTTACCAAAATTCACCAAATTTTGGCGGGAAATCGCACCCAGGTCTACAAAGAGAAACTTTACGGCAAGAAGTACGTCTGGTTCCTGATTGGCTGGTACGCCGACAACTGGTTCCGCATCAAAGACCCCGCGATCAACTGCACCGAGGCCGAGATGGCCGAGGCCGTGGAGGGTCACGTGACCACCGAGATCGTCATGCTCAACCCCGAGAACACGCGCAGCATCTCCAACATGGTACTGGGAGGGACTGGGATAAACTGGGATGGACTGGGATAAACTGGGATAAACTGGGAATGGATTGGAGTGGATTGGGAGTCACTGGGAACCACTGGGAATGGATATGAATGGACTGGAATGGGTTGGGATCAAACTGGAATGGATTCGGATGGACTGGAATGGATTCGGATGGACTGGAATGGACTGGGATGGATTGGAATGGATTCGGGTAAACTGGAATGGATTGGGATCAAACTGGAATGGATTCAGATGGACTGGAATGGATTCGGATGGACTGGAATGGACTGGGATGGATTGGAATGGATTGGGATCAAACTGGAATGGATTTGGATGGACTGGAATGGACTGGGATGGATTGGAATGGATTCGGGCAAACTGGAATGGATTGGGATGGACTGGAGTGGATTCGGATGGATTGGAATGGACTGGGATTCGGCTGGAATGGATTTGGATCAAACTGGAATGGATTGGGATGGA